GTGAACATGAGAAGTCTTTTGGCAGACTCTAAATCTCTCGTGAAAACAAATTTGTGCTGCTTATCTCGTCACCGAAGACATCATATTTTAATGTGATTGAATTTAAGCAACGTGCTTTTCTTCTTGCTCCTGATATCCGTGTGAATGCAAAAGGAATGAGAACACGCGGGTCACCAACGTGGTAGGCAATCCTCTATGGTGGAGAAGAACCTGGAAGAGCTTCTTTAGTCTTCACCTGCCTTCTATCAGTTTACGGGTGACATGGAGCGTGACGAGCTGCCCTGAGGCTATCTATCATTGCGAATATGTGCATGAATGTAACATCCATGCACAGAAGGGATGTTACAAGGAAGGGATGCATGACACATGTAAACGATTTTAAGCTGGCACACATCACGCATCAAGGCACATATCGCGTTCGCATAATCAGACATGATCAGCCCTGTATGTTAAAGTTTGGTCGACGACTATTTACAAGGACAGATGAACATAGCTTTCTGTCTGTGTGGTCCCCGCAGGGGCACCGGCTTCAACCCGTGTAGGGGGCTAGCGCCACCTCGGGTCCCAGCTCCGGTAACGGGTGGGCAGCGCAAGCTGCTCCTGTCAGGGCGTAGCGACTCTGCCGGCGCGTGAGCTCCTGCTCCTTGTCCCGCCCGCTTCTTCCACTTTACCCGCACTCCAGTATCCGGCCCTATCACCATCCCTCATCCTCGTTTTATCGGGGTCGCCGTGCCCCCTCGCCCACGTCCCCGGGTTGATCGGATCCTGGTGGCTGAGGGGCGTGTCGTGCGGGTCAGTCACGGCGCGTCCCAACACTCCACTTTGGCCAGAATATCCGGGGGCGTGGGGGGCCCGTGGGGCCCCACACGGGTCTAGCGGCTTGTCGCTCGCGTTGCGGTTGGGTGCTCTTTGCGGGTCTCCGCTTGGGGCGCCTGACCGCGCGCAGCGGCTTAAGGGGTCAGGGGGTGGCGGCGCCGAACCACGGTCAGGACGGGGAGGGGTCTTCCCGGTTACACCTGGCCGTGTGGGAGGCGTCGTTCGCCCCGTATAGCACCGGGGTAGCCCTGGCGGTCACCACCTCCCGAGGGAGTGTTGGGCCGTCCCCCAGTTGGGCTCCGAGGTGGGTGGGGAGCCCCGGTGCCGAAACTTCACTGAACTTCCATGGCATCTCATAATCAAAAAACCATCCGACCCCCGAGAGGGGGAAGGACCACGTTCCGAACGGAAAGCAGCGGGGAATCCTCGCCATCTCTCCGAATTTTGGTTTTCCAAAGTGATAAGACAAGGCTCTCGTCTCTCTCGCCGTTTCAGCGAAAGAACGGATGTGACCGATTTGGAAATGGTGGTGCGGTGCGACAAACTGCGTGATGGAGGGCTAGAGGTAGAGTTTGTTAACGGAGCAGAGGCGGATCGTGCGATGGCTGCAGCCGAATTCACGTACTGCGTTCGGGACAAGGATGGCAAACGAGACGTTTCTGTACCTATCCGAGTGACACCACACCTGACAAAAAATGCATCCAGAGGAATAATTAACTGCTTCGACCTGCGTGACGTCAGAGAAGAAGAGATTGCTGACGAGTTGTCTGTGTTCGGCGTCACTGCCGCACGGAGGATCTCCACTAGAAAAGGAACTGAGCAACTGCCAACAAATAACATCATCTTGACTTTCAATCGCCCGGATCTTCCTTCTGAAATACGCGTCGGATACGCACGTGTCAAGGTGCGCCTTTTCATCCCAAACCCCATGCGATGCTTCAACTGCCAGCGATTTGGTCATACCAAACAGTACTGCCGCAACAAGCCAGCCTGTGGGAAATGCGCTCCCTCCGAGCACACAACGGAATTTTGCGATTCAGAGAGAGCGTGTTGTGTGAATTGTGACAAAGACCAGGCCCCGCACACGACCTACGACCGCATGTGCCCAGCGTACGTGAAGGAGAAAGAAATTATCTCCATTAAGACCACTCGCAATATCTCTTTTCGCGAGGCCAGAACATTGTACGAGGAGAGCCACCCTCGAACATCATACGCCGAAAAGGCTAGGATCTCCACCGCACGTCCGACCTCCACTGATCGGATGACCGCTGCTCAGTTTGTAGCGCTCTTGAAGTCCTTTCGTCTCTCGGTTGTGTCGACGAACCAGGCGCTGGACTCCAGTCTGGCAGCCCTGGCTCCCCCTTCCTCGCTGGAGCGGTCGAAGGAGACCGTGCTGCCAACCTCCTCGCCCCCCGCAGGGGTTTCGCCGTCGGTGGCAGGGGACGGTGGTTGGACGGTGGTTCGGCGTGACCGGGGTAACCAGGCGCTGTCGGCTGCCCCCCCCCCCCCCCCCTTCCCTGTCTGCCAGCCCGACGACTAACACAACCTTGGCGAGAGCAAACTCGCGAACGGCAGAGACGCTGGAGCGTCACGAGGCAGACAGGCGCGCCCGTGAGGCAAAGCGGGCACGCCTGGCAGACCAGGAGCGTGCCAAGGCAGCCAGCCGGCTGTCTGGAGCGGACCAGGTGGCCGCTTCAACGGGGGAGACCCTCCCGCCGCCCGGAAGGCGTGTGGAGGCTCCCGCAGGCCCCTCCGACCCGCAGAGAGACCCGCCTATGGGTCCTCCGCCACCACCGCCACCTAGGACCACGACGTCGCCGGCGCCGGCCCCGTTTAGGACGGGCCGCCCGGAAAAGCGTGGTCCGCCAGGGCCGATTTCGCCAACGGATGGCGGTAGCCCCCGAATGCGTCCCAGAATCCGCCCGGTCTCTGTGGGATACGGTTCTGAAGACAGGAACAACAGCCATCGGCCGGGCTCCAGCGCTGCTGAGTTCTTTTAAAACATCACATTGCTTTTATAGCCCCCTCATTCAGTCGGTCTTACAGTGGAACTGTAGAGGTGTAAGGTCAAGCACCCAGGACTTGCAGGCAATTTTAAGCGCGCACTGCCCGGTAGCCGTATGTATCCAAGAGACCAAGTTGGCGCCTGATGCGGCCTTTGGCCTGAAAGGGTACGCTACCTTCCGCACTGACATGCCAACAGAAACCGTTGCTTACGGTGGCGTTCTGCTGGCTGTACACCAAAGCGTACCTACACGGCGCCTGGTGCTAAGAACAGACCTGCAAGCTGTCGCAGCATCAGTGAATTTCAACACCGTACCATAACCGTCTGCTCTCTCTATTTACCACCTGGGGTTTCATTTCCATCTGGAGGACTACGAGAGTTAATCTCTCAACTCCCTCACCCTCTACTCGTTTTAGGCGATTTTAATGCACATCACACTGTTTGGGGGTGTGCTTCCACGAACACTCGCGGGAGGCTATGTGAGGCTCTCGTGCGTGACGAAGGTTTATGTGTTTTAATTACAGGAGCAAGAACGTATTTTACATTGCCATCAGGACAATCGTCAGTGCTAGACCTGAGCATTTGTAGTCCGCAGTTGGTACCACACTTCACCTGGGTTGCTTCAGAGGACCCCCTTGGAAGCGACCATTTTCCGGTCTGGGTTCGGTACCGTGGCGGTACTGTTCTTGGTACTCGACCTCAACGTTGGAATTTCAAGAAAGCGGACTGGAGTGGTTTTGAGACCCGCCTGGACGAAACCTTTTCTAACGATTTCGACTCTGCAACTCCGACTACGGAGGAATTTACGTCTCTCGTTTTGGATGCGGCGAAAGGATGCATTCCGCGCTCCTCCGGATGCCCTCGTCGCACCCCTGTACCTTGGTGGAGCGACGAGTGTCGTGACGCTATTCGTGCACGTCGGAGAGCTTTTAGGGCTTTTGACCGGCACAACAGCACATTAAACCTCTTGGCTTTCAGGCAGGCACGCGCGGCCGCACGCCGCACTATACGAGAGGCGAAACGTGCATCATGGCGCAGCTACGTCAATTCACTGAATCGCCACACGCCGACGTCACATGTATGGGGCCGCATTAAAAGAATCGCCGGGCTTCATCCACCAGTTTCCCTTCCCGTACTGCGAGTGGGAAGTCAACACATCACTCACCCAAGCGATGTCGCGGAGGCCATTGGGGAAGCCTTTCCAGACCGTTGCCGAAATGGCACCTGCGATCCACGGTTTTTGCGACATCGGGCGCGATGTGAAACTTCGCGTTAATTTTTATACAGGGGACATCCTGACGTACAACAAGCGTTTCACTATGATGGAACTTGAAGGGGCCATTCGCCCGCTGCGTAGTGTAGCGGAGGGGCCCGACCTCATCCATAATGATATGGTACGGCATTTTGCTCCCCATGTACTACGAGCGTTGCTGGCACTTTTCGACTGAATATGGGAGTCAGGTAACTTCCCGCCAATCTGGCGAGAAGCCATAGCAGTACCTATTTTAAAGCCCGGGAAAAGTGGAACGAACGCCCTTGACTATCGCCCGATCGCCCTCACATCTTCGCTGTTTAAGCTCATGGAACGAGTGGTGAATGTACGGCTCTCGTGGACCTTAGAACGTCAAAATTTTTTCACGAATGCTCAGTGCGGATTCCGTAAGAACAGGAGCACGATTGACCACATCTTTACTCTTGAAACCGCAGTACGAGCCGGTTTTATCAGCAAACGTCATACCGGCGCCATCTTTTTTGACATAGAAAAAGCCTATGATACCACATGGAGACATGGAATTTTGATGAAGTTACTCGATTGTGGCATCCGTGGTCACATGGGAAAGTTTTTACAAAACTTTCTGACTGACAGATTCTTCCGGGTGCGTGTTGGTTCTTATCAATCCGACAGGTATCCGCAGGACAATGGTGTGCCTCAGGGCAGCGTATTAAGTGCCATTCTTTTCGCAGTGATGATTAACGATATAGGGGACACGCTTCCACATGGGATCAGCCGTTCTCTCTTCGAAGACGGCTTTGCTATTTGGTGTAGCTCGTCGACCACTCGCACGATGGAGCGACAGCTTCAGCTGGCTGTCACACGTCTGGAGAAGTGGAGTGTGCTCAATGGTTTCCGGTTCTCTACGTCGAAGACAACTGCAGTTCATTTCTGTCGTCGTCGGCGTCAATGTCCTGAAATGGAAATCAACCTGTACGGGCAACGCGTCGCCGATGAGAATACCGCGAAATTTCTCGGTATACGCTTTGACCGACGCCTAACATACCGTGGGCACATCATAAATCTCCGCGAAAAAATGTTTAAAATCTCTTAACATCCTAAGGTGCGTGGGACGTACGTCATACGGTGCTGATAGGAGGACACTCTTACTCCTATACCGCTCCCTGATTCGTTCAAAACTTGACTACGGCTGTTTTATCTACGACAGCTCATCAGACCTGATCAAACGTACTCTGAACACGGTGCATCACGCCGCACTCCGTATCGCCACAGGGGCTTTTCGGACATCGCCCGTAGACAGTCTTCTGGTGGAGGCTCACGAGCCCCCACTAGCATTGCGAAGGCAGATGCTGGGACTGCGCTACACGTGCAAGCTGGCGCAGTTCCCAGGTCATCCCACCTACAAAGCAGTGTGTTTGCGTAGCTTACGAAGGCTTTTCCTACGTCAACGGTCACCAAAAGCTTCTCCCCTCTGTGTACGAATGAGAGAACTTTTAGACGTGCGCGGCCTGAACCTACAGCGTATCATCAGACCTAAACCCATGGAGACTGCTCCTTGGGAGCTAGCATCGCCAAGAGTGGATGTCTCTGTATCAAATATGCAAAAGCAACGTGTCCTCACGACGGAACTTAAAGGCGCAGCCTTAGAGCACATGGCCTCCTTCGACGGGTACAAGATGACTTATACAGATGGTTCGAAGACGGATGCAGGTGTAGGGTGCGCTTTTGTGTGCGGATCCACCACACGGTCATTCACACTGCCTTCACACGCGTCGGTCTACACTTCCGAGCTTATAGCCATTAGCAAAGCTCTCTGCTTTATTGAAGTGGACGATAGCAATCTGCATTTAATTCTTTCCGACTCCTTGAGCAGCCTCATGGCTGTTAGCGGCTTTTCCCCGTCGAATCCACTGGTTCAGGACATTCAATCTCGTCTTAGCTCACTGGATCGAGCAGGAAAAACGGTCGTTCTATGCTGGATCCCAAGTCACGTGGGGATATGTGGAAATGATCTTGCTGACGCGGCAGCAAAGCGCGCTACGACAGGAACTAGAATTCCTATACCACCACTACCTGCTCAAGACATGTACCCCGCAGTGTCGCTGTTTATGCAGCAGCGATGGCAGTTCCACTGGAACTCGCTGAGCGCCAACAAGCTGCAGTCGGTGAAGCCCCGCACTGGATTATGGCAGTCGTGCTTTCGGGACAATAGGGTGGAAGAAGTTGCCCTTTGCCGGTTACGCATAGGTCACACATATGCTACGCACCGTCACCTGCTATTGGCTGGCGACAGACCATGCTGCGGTCGATGCTCTGATCCACTGACCGTGCATCACGTACTGATCGCTTGCCGCCACCTTACTGCAACGAGAACGCAGTTTTTCGGACGCCACGTCCAGAGTCGCACGCTATGCGACTTTTTAGGGGATTCTTCGAACATCGTCGAGTTTGGTAAAGTGCTCCAGTTCCTTCGCGCTATAGATTTCCCTGTAATCTTCTCGTCATGATGCTAGGGCCGATCATCATGGCTCTACAGGGTGACCTGATTGATGCACTTCTCTGATTGACGGCTCTGCATGAATCGGTAGTTATGGGCGCTGCATGACCTTCAGCAGTCGATGTGCCCTAAAACCCCAAATCATCATCATCATCATCTGTCTGCGTGGTCCTGTGCTCTGCAGATGACTTCGAGCTCTGAAAGGGGTGTACGGTCCATACTTCCCTGGATTTCAGTCTGAGCGTGTTTTGGCAAAAAAGGTTACCGAGATGGATATTCTCTGTTTTGTTGTTAGCGCGTCGCAGGTGGTCATTATATCTCATTATATTGGACATCGGGCGAGAGAGGATCAGTGACCCACCCAGAAGAATATAAATTGACAACCGTATGAAGAACTAACCTAAAATAGCGAACACATCTCTGCGATATTGCAAAATTCCACATGTGAGTCAAATCACGGGAAACAAACAACCCTGGCAGGCGTGGGAGGCTGGGCGCGGCCAGGCACATGAGACAAACAGCTTCAAGAAGATGAGTGCAACTTGGGGTACTCACACAAACGTGCAGCGAGTAAAGCTATTAATGCAATCAGTTCACTCGACTCTTTATTGGAAAGCCTGATCTGTTTATGTAAGCAGGATGTACTAAATAGTCTTTTATGATACCATAGATCAGTTGGCCCTTCACATGCACATAGCACAACGGTGGCTCAGAACCAGAACCGTTACGAAAAGCATGTTCGAAATAATTTGGGCCTCAGCTCCGTCACGCCTTCTCTCGGTTCCAACATCCCAGATGGTAAGAGCGCCTACATCCTGGTGCAACGACCGGTGGTGAGATGGGTTCAAATCTCTTTGATGCCTGCTATTTGCACCAGACTGGGATGACCTGCGACCAGTGCAGCGACCACCCGAAAGGGCCCAGTTGACAGGACAAGACGGACATTGGCGAGCAGTGTGGCACGTGAAAATTTCGCCCCCAAATTTCCCTGTTGACCCGGGATTTCGTGACCGAATGGTGGGGTTAGGACCCACGCAACAAGCGCTGCTTAGCGTGGGCTGTGATCCTGAGAATTCATCCAGTCAAAATGCTCGAACAAAATCTTTAAAAACAAGCACCGTCCATACCCACACAGCTGAGAGTGCAGTCATCTGGTGGTAAATTCCCTCCCAAAAATAAAGAATCGTTGAACTAGGAAAGGTCAGAAAGTTAAAGCACGCGGCAGCGGTGTTCCATGCCAATTTCGCTCTGATGGACTCGACAGCTAACTATCTTCCTGATATCTCCCCATTCCACAAGATCATAGAGGCGAATGAAATGTCATTCGATTGTTTGTACAACGTTTAATCGGAATTACTGGACATTTTTTACTTTCTGAGGTAGAGTCAAGGTCATATCAGGTCAGCTATATTTCCTCTTTTTGATCGGGTTTTGTTCAAATAATGTATCTTATTTCAGCACGAATTTATATTATAAGCTATGTTATAGATAAAGCTATGTTATATATCAGCTATGTTATAAGCATTGCATGCACACGACCTGCACTAACCAACATCATACACGTGTGAACATAGATTATCGAGGCCATTCGTCCCTTCTTTGAACAGTCATTGTTGTTGCCAACCAGCAATCCTCTTTTGTGACTGGTTGAAGCCACGGCTGGTGTCTAAACACACTTGAGCAAACCTTCCATTTAAGTTTTATTTTAAGTCAGCGACCAATCATGACGCTTTGGAATTACAGTGCCATATATGGATAAGAATGTGGTGCTGAATGATAACAATGTGGTGCATTGAGGAAGTGTAATGAAGCAAAAGTTTGCGGAAAAGAAGCACCTAACCGTAGATCAAATACCAAGGTTATGCCACGTCAATGAGGCGCTGTCCAAATGTAACGTGTCTCTGGTTATCACTACTGTGTGAAAGTGAACTTTTAAAGTGAAAGAGCAATGGAACCGAAAACTACAGACCATGGTGGAAAATGTTTCGACATGAGGACCTCCAGGTCAGGCTAGTCACGTGGCCTGTCATGACATTTAAGGTAGAAAGGTACTCGCACGTGAAGAAATGACACCAGTGGATTTTGAGTGGCACCAGCGGTTTATAAGTCAACAAAACTGGCAATTACCCTACTAGAGCAGGCACTACGAGGAGTCAGTGTTGGCTTGCCTGGTGAAAATTATGGTGGGTAAAAATTTCACACCGTTCAGATGCTTTAAATGTTCTAGGCCGGTGATTTCTCGTCCGATACATCGCTAGTGGCGCCTCATTTTTCCCCAGCCATTTCGCATATAATTGGATGCTCAGAATGAGGATACAGCACGACCGACTAGCCTCCGTGTCGACAATTCGTCAAGAAAAATCAGAGCGGTAGTGTGGCGATATTTGAATAGATCTTGGTGTTACACGCCTGTCTGCATGGAAAACTAGGTAGCGATTTATGCGCTCACAGGAAGTGAATCATCGATTATGCGTACGAGAAGGAAAGGCTAGCTGCAGTGCCGCCACTTCTCAGCCCGCAGGCCTGCAAAGCTTGGGCTTAAGAGGCCCGCAGGGCTTTTAACGGGTATTGCTGACTGCTTTGCGGGTGTAGACAGGTGTCCGATTCCCAAAATATATCACTTAGTTATAGGGTTACCCAACCGGTGATATCCTTCTTTGAGAGTTCAATGCTGTTGTTTTTTTACACGAATGACACATGGCTATGTCACACGGCAAGCATAATGATATAGCACTAAGACTGGTTTTCATTTTAGTTCTCCTTAAATGCATGTCTAATGGCGCATCCAAGACAATCTTAAATTTATTGAGTCCTCTTAAACTGGAGCGCGCATTGACCACGAAATAGGTTCAATGGCCGGCGCCGTGTTGTGAAGGCCAAAAAGCCTCGATTCTCGCGTGGCGCCGTAGGCTGCAGCGTTGAGAAGGCTCTAACTAACCGGCGATTGGGAGTGAAAGTAGATTGCCTGAAGCCATTTGGCGTAGTTTGTGGGCTTTTTAAATGTTCTGTCATCTCGCAAATATGGTGATGGCAGTTGTACGGCCTTAAACGACACGAATCGAAGGTTGAAAAGGGAAGAATATTTTTTGGGCTTTTGGGAGTAGAGCTTTAGCCAGGCTGGGGTTACCAAGGGTGTCATTATCGAAATTAAAGACTCTCTGTGCCTTGTTGTCAAGACGTGCTAGAACGTTCGCCAAAATATGGTTTCATGAGGCGGCGTTTGACATGAATGACAACGAACAGACGACGGCATGAACGACAGCAAGAACGTCGGCTTTCCACGAGGATGCGATTCGTTTCAGTCCTTCCCTTTCTTTATGCTCTGCTTCTGCTATATCAGTATGTCACGGTGTTGAATTGCGAAGCACCTAGCTGAACACGCAGATATTCTTAAGTCCGTGGAAGCTTCATGTGGGCATAGCATGACTTTACACGGTTGTTGTGTGTAACATTACTGTATTCATACATTCAGAGCTGGCGCATCTACATCATACAAGACATTTTAGTAAAACCGCATGATGCACTGAAAAGCAAGAAAATAAAATGAACACATCTCATAAGACTTAAAACAAAAAATGCGATCTGAATGTCCTAAGATCAATACTCTGGTTTGTAACCCCTGATAAAATACTTAAGAATCCACTTGCACACGTCCATGCTGGGTCGTCGCCACTTCAGGTGTTGAGTTGTGGACTATCACTTGGCTACCGTCCCAGTTTCAGCTCCCAAGTTGTCCATCGGACCGAGATACAAACGAAGATCGCAGTAACCCCGCACATTGAAAACAGATACGGAATCCAGAGCCCGATCCTTACCACCACCGAGCACGGTGAGCTGATCATCGTACAGCGGTTTACGGAACCCAAACTTCTTCTCAAAGCCACTAGGTGGCAGGAGCAGTGCACCAGCGATCTCCTCTGCCGGCAGCGCGCGGCTGCCGGTCACGTGTCCCTCTTTATCACGGATCGCCGCTGGGCGAATATCCAGCACCAGGTCCTTGCCACCGGCAAGCCGCCGCCGCACGTCTTCCGCCGAAATTTCGCGAGACACGGGCGCGCCGCGGCGCGCCCAGTCTTTGAAAGAGCCGTAGTAGAGACGCAGGTTGCCGTAGCCGGCGGGAATCATCTTAGCGGCAGCAACCTGGATGCGACGGCCGGACCGACACATCAGGACCATCTCCTGCTCAGGTGGCGGCAGCACGAAACCGTACCTCTCACGGAAGTCGGTAGCCGTCAGCGTCAGGGCCTCGTCCAGCTCGTGCAGCGGCAAGTTGTGGGAGTTCGGCAGGCGGCCCGGGTCCAGTAGTTCGGACCGGTTGCGCACGTCCAGCAGGAAGATGGCGTTGGCACGCACCAGCGGCTGCAGCTCCTCGAACGCGATGCCGGGATAGGGCCCGGGCCACTCGGCGGGCGCCGCCCGTCCCGCCGCCGGGCCGCCCACGAACGCGGCCACTACCAGCAGCCACAAGCCCATCGCGGTGCACGGACACCCCACGGAATGGACGCGCTAGATCTCGCCGCGCAACCGACCTTTTGCTGGTCGTCTCGCCGCCGGTCTTCACGCGCTCCCCTCCCGGTCCGGTCTCTGACCTCGACTGCAGGCCATGACGGCTGCTCGGCCCCATCGCGTGACGAGCCCACTGGCCTCGCACCTATTTTCACCAGATAGTCGCCAGTTTTCCCCCGCATACCGCCAGACTTCGAGACACCGAGACGTGCGTGGGCAGGGCGTTTCTCAAAGGCAACTTGCTTGTAGGTCATGTCATGGGGGTCAGGCATGTCATGCCGCCTCAGAAAAGCTGGTTGAACGAATCTTTGTACTTTTTGCATCACTGTACACTTGTCACAATTATTTTGTATTCTCTTGTCTGGCGTATCTGCACAGGCTATACTTAGGGTTATGATCCCTATGCCACGATTCAGTGTGCTGCCGACTGTTGTTTGAAGCGGGCTGCTGATTAATTTGTGGGACTGGAAATGGACTCCATGAAAAAGTCTGTTTACATGTGTTGTTTTTACCCGCGTCGGACGTGCGAGCGCAGCCTCAGGCTATGCAACGTGCATTTGCCTACGTCATGCTTTTGCTGATTGCGTCATGCTTTTAGACGGCTATGGCCGCCGCACCCAAAATGTGCTTTCCTTCCACGGATTTTATCTGGCCACGCTGTGCAATCCTTTAGAGAGGAGGCGCTCCGGGTATTTGGGTGCATGCTTGTACGTATGGACCCAGCTAAGCTTCGTCATATTTGTAGACGACTGGCGGTTGCTGATCGCTTCGAGCCTTTATAGATATCTCGTACAACTAGACCGGAGCCAGCTACGCCCAGGGTGTGCTCAGCAAGGACATGGTGCAACTCAACAAAAGCAAACCCATATGCGCGGGTGTTCCGGGCGTGCTTTCACGTGAATATTTACGGTGCCAATAGGAGCATACGACGCCTGTACATTCGGCATTGTTTCCGGCTGATGAAAGCAGCGCTTCATAAAACGTATCAGTCATTTTAAGAAAGAGCAATGGGACAGCCCATTTTACAAAATCGCTGTGAGTGGCGATTGGCAAGCATTCCACTGACCGTACAGTGTTCGCTGCCTTTGTTGTTGGATCCTCTTGTGTAGCCATTCAATGAGGCCGTTTCGGGCGATGCACGGATTCGAGCACGACGTGCTCAAGTTGGACTCCGGACTACAGAAGTCTCAGTTGATTGTAACTTGTAATTGGTGATATCGACCAAAAGCTGTACCCAGTAATTTGCAAAAGCAGACTGCTCAGACGGCAGACAGCCTAAATGTGTTGGACACACGGGTAAAGCCTAACAACGCTGTGACTCAGACGACAAACAAGACTAGTCGGTGCCAAATAGGCAATAAGTGACAACGGACAACGACGGCATCGCAAGGGATTGAAAAGTGGTGTGCTATGTACCATAAGTGCCTTGGTATGGCAACCAACTTAAGTGGTGTCGTTTATCGCAGCTGGAATAGCATGTTGCGCACGGCAGCGCGAGGTTCTCATCCACTCTAGGTCCGCACGTGTTCTGGCAGCCTATATCAGATCCAACCGAATGGTGGCCCTGCCTCAGGCCCAGCCTAAGCCTCAAACCTGTCAGCTAATGCTGCGCAGTGACTGGCCTTTCCGCTCGTGCAGCGGCCGGCACCAGCACAGCCGGCACGGTCCCTGGCCCACCGGAGCTGGCGCTGCCACCTGTCCTAAGCTGCCGGTTTCATGAGAGCCGGCGTGACGCTCGGTCCCACCACTCACTAGAGCCGATCAAAATTTGTACCTGTGCAAACAACGCCCAAAATAACTACAGGTGCTGGTTCTTTTACCGGGCGGGGCCGCCGAAGGCTGAAATGCGAGACATTTGTTGTAAAACACAGTCCGGTGGTGGATTACGCGTAAAGCAGCGTCTGGCACCCATCCGCATCGTGTAAACCACACTTAATACTGTTCAAGGTCACTTTTAAAGGGGCCTCACAGGTAACCCAGCTCGGAATGAAGCAACCAGTGGTTCATGGTGTTCTGGTACGGGGGCACGGTGTAGTGATTCGTGATGTTTAGGATACAGCGGCAGTGAAACCTCTCCGGAGATGGGAAAATATAACTTTCACCTGGCGTATTTACATCTGTCATTGGCGTAATGTTAAATTGTGGGAGGAGACACGTCTGACACGCCGCCCCCCCCCCCCCCCCTCCTGCCACTCCAACTGCTTACTTAATCTGCCGTCCCTGTTGCGGGTGCGGTACTGATCACTGGGGTCAAATCGATCCGATACCATCTGCAATCCAAGGACATTCAAAACAAAAAGAGAGGGATCCTGCAAAACCCTCCAACACAGCAATGCCAAGGTGCAACATTTTGCTGAACTCGGCATTTTTCCGATGGGGCATCTCATCAGGGGGCCAGTTCATCATGGCAGCGCACCGATATCGGCATTCGAGTGGCTTCCCTGCCAAACCCTGGGATGACCGTGAAATCTCTAGTTGCGCCTCGAAGCGTGCAAGTTTATGACACATGACGTTTTTCAAGGCAACTTGACGGCCACCGTGGCCCACTCTGATATGGAGCGCCAACGACTGGGGACGCCGTATTAGCGCTCAGGGACATGGCGTAATCGAAGTTCGACTTCATGCCCCACACGTAGAAGCCAAAAGCGTTTACTACTCGGCAATCATGCCCTCAGCCATTCGGAAGCTGATGTCCCTCTTGTGATTGCACAAGCCTGCTATAAATTTAACATTGATGTTGCCGGTCTAGAAGCAATAAACAACTAGAGCACGGGAGCATTCTGAACCAAACGGCACCTGCATACGGTGGAAGTCTACACATCTTCGCATTCAGGAGCAAATGGGGCGGGGGGGGGGAGCATCGGGGTTCCGTGCTCCCTTTTATCAAGTTGTCGTTAAATGTGTCACCATTCATATGTATAACTGCCGGCAACTAGGAACAAAAATTCAGAACAGAAGCTTCTTGACTGATTGAAGGGCTCCCAGATCAGCACACGACCTTCCTACCACGAAACAAGTCCTCCTTTTCCATACAAGGGCCTTTTGATGCACAAAGAGGCCGGGCTCCCTAATCACGAACGGGGTCTTTCCAGTTCCCAAAGAGAGACACAAATTCAAAACAGAGGCCCATTATCTCAAATAGACATCATGATCTAGAACAGCGGCCTTCTGATGCGCAAAAGAAGCTTCTAACGTATAGCAGTTACCTTACAATTGGGAACAAGGCCGTCTAATTCATGAAGTGTACCTCCCGAGCCAGCGAAGAGGCCGCTTAAATACTTCATGGAACCTCCTCATCCAGGGCAAGAGCTACCAAGTCCACAACGGGAATTTTGTCGTTTTCTGCATAAACTTCACGCGGGGCCTGTCACGAGTTCTTCGCACATCGTCAGGCAGACATTTTTGTTTTTCGACGCAAATAAGTCGCCAGCCTGGCGAAATTTCGCTAGGTCTGGCAGCCCTGGGTGTCACGCATGACCTCTGTCGGACCCCTCACTTGACCTTGGTCGCGGTGAAGGGAGTGTAGATACGGGGGCTCCGCTGGTGGCCGGTACGTGGCGCTGATGACCTCACGGTTCTGGCATGGGGTGTGGGACGGTGTTGACCAACAGATAAACTGACTGCGGGCAGCAAGGAGATGGCTCGTCTGGTTGATGAATCTTAACAGCGGTGAAAGTGGAACATCCCTTCTGTGCATGGATATTACATTCATGCACCTATTCGCAATGATAGGTGGCCTCTGCGCAGCTCGTCACGTTCCATGTCACACGTAAACTGATGGAAGGATTGTGAAGACTAAAGAAGCTCTTCCAGGTTCTTCTCCACCATAGAGAATTACCTACCACGTTGGTGACCCGCGTGTTCTCATTCCTTTTGCGTTCACACGGATGTCAGGAGAAAGAAGAAAGGCACGTTGCTTAAATTCAGTCACCTTAAAATATGCTGTCTTCGGTGACGAGATAAGCAGCATAAATTTGTTTTTACGAGAAATTTAGAGTCTGCCAAAAGACTTTTCATGTTCACGAGACACTGATCGTGTTGTAGAAATTGAAAATCGCTGAAGCACTCAGTTTAACATCAGAACGCGCTGCAATATTGACAAATGTCCCGAAGTGAAGACAGAAATGCACAGCCGATGTTCAATTGGATCCGCCTTGTCATAAACAAAGGTGGGAAAGGTAGAGCTTCCTGGCATCATGCTCCAGATTTGAAGACGGCGACGGCTGACAGGCGACGCCCGGCCTTCCCGGAAATCGTCCCGCGCTACGCACCATGCCAAGAGTTCCGGGACTTCTCGTAGGATGAGGCGCATCTCTCATGCATGCACCATCGAAATGTGCCGTAGCCAAAAGATGATTGGGGTACCAGGTGTAGAACCTTAAATCTGGATTACACATTCGCGGCTGCTTAGAGTACACGCATTCTGGGCAACGAGGTGCATGTGGTGCGCTGTTGCGGGCAATAGATATTCGCGTTATATGGGATTGTTTGCAATAACACACAGATGAGCGAAACATGCAGCTTATGTTTTTTCACGAACACATTGGTAAAAATAGTTGAGCACAGGTTTGAAAAATCCGCCAAGGTGCACTACCCCGGCCGCTCCGCAAAAAAGGTTCTTACCGCGTGGTCACAGTAAGGTTTGTTTCCTTATTACTGGCTCAGCACTTTGTGAGCGACATTAAATTTACATGGACTGGTTCTGCGACACAGAGGTGGTTTAAAACTCACCTACTTTCCATTTAAAAATGTTCCTCACCCCAATTTTTACATCAGTTAAAACACGTATTTTCAGCTTTAAGCAAATACCGCGGAAGTAAACAATCCAACTATTGGTAACACGCTGCCACTGCTAGCTTTGGGCCGGCCTGTTCCTCTCAGGTCCTGCATCTGCTTAACAGGGACCCACTGCTCGTCCCGCATTGTCCGTCTCGCACCGGATCTGCTGCCTCACGCGAAGCGATGAT